GATGTTTAAATGTTTGATGTATCAAAATAAATCGTTGAAATGGTTAACACTGTAACAAGATGCGTAGTTCAATTAAACTTTCCCGATTTACAAAAAGCAAATCTCAAATGAAAGTTTAGGGATTTCAAAATTTGATTAAACACGGTAGTTAAACACATTTCTAACAGTGTAACTTAATTCATAATTGAACGGTGTTGAAACAGTTAAAACATCTGATTATTCTAAATAGTTCCTACTTTCTTCCAATATATTTCGTTTTAAGAACACAACATTCGGTTTGTTTGTTGTTTTTTTATGTATTTAACATTTTAATTTTATTTTTAAAAAGGATTTAATATTAAATATAAAATGATGCTGTACATCCAGACATAACATAATTTCCTTAAAAGTAGAAATATAAGGGATAATGACCTTTGAGATGATTATTACCTAATAAAGATATTAATTATTGAATAGTAAGACAAAACAAGTTCTTTTAATCAAATTGCTTTCATTTCAGCAAAATCCAATTACTTTCATTTTAATAAAGGAACCATTAAACATTATAGAAACGTAAAAGATATTTATTCTATGAAAGAGGAAAAAAAATGTTTTACAAAATAAGTATGTAAATTGTGATAAGTTTATTTTTCAAATTCATAAGGCAGCATGTGAGGAATTTACAATACAATAAGCAAAACAGTGTACAATATATGAATATTCAAACAAAAATGAAACCATTGAGAAAGAGGTTTACAATCAACCTTGCAATGTATATTTAAACTTAATATCGTCTTAAGAATAACATTTACATAAGAATCCTTACCATGCTTTAGGCATAGAATAGTTTATATTCATAATAAACAAAGACTGTTCAAACTACATAACATGCAACTTTGCTACAGTCCTTATTTTGATTGACTACATTTTTCAGAGTTCACATAAATATATACGCGTTTGTATGTGGTGTATGTATGCTTCTCATTGCCACAAATAATATAATTTGAACATGTTAAAATGATTCCTTGTAAAATAGGAATGCACTGATCTTGTCAAAACCAATCATATGGCCTACATATTATGATGACTTAGATATTTGAAGTAATTATTTGTAAACTAAGACTATTCTGATCTTATCGAAATTGAGCACAAGATCAACATATATCCTAAAGAGATGTACCCTTTAAAAGGCCGAAATATAATGCTCAGTGCACTCTTCATATAAGAAGTAGTTTTGTTTTTACTGATATTCAATTGCTTTCTAAGATATTATTTTAATTTTTTACGTATTTGGGTATCTAGATGGTTAGATGGACATTTAATTGTGTCATATGTTATAATTATCATCCGACGCGGGGTTATAAAAATACATTTGTTATCATTTATTAAGTATTAAAATAAAAATGATTTTATTAAGGATGTGAATGTAACTGTTTAATGGAACAGATAAATTAAGTGTAGTATTTCAAGTTTTCTTGTAACGAAAAGATGCCAGATACCTCCAGTTTTTCTAGGAATAATTACAATGTATAAATATCGTTTCTTGTTAACTTTATTCTACTGAATGGTTAATCAATCTTTAAACTATTATAAAATCTGTTTGAATAGTCAGACAATCTAAAATTGTAAATAGGCTCATTACAACATCAAAAGCGTTTTTATGCCACAAGCGCCTCAAATAAATTTCTTTCTTTTCTTATTTACTTTTATCAAATAGTGATTTTCATATATGAAACAACTTTTACTGATATAAATTATTATATTTTTTACAACAAATACCTTTATTTGCAATCAGGTCACATAAAAGTAACAACATGATCAAAAAGGATGTTCTGATTGATAGTGTTGACTAGGAATCATTCATTATTCAGCCTGACTGTATCATATAGACGTTTCTTTTTGGCTTCTTTTCACATCCTTAATTATATAGCATGTTTTGTTGTTGTTGTTTTTGTTGTTGTTGTTTAGTCCACTCTAACAATATTCAAACGCATTTACACTGTTTTAAGCAAGTCCAAATAGTTCAATCATGCATAAAATTTGACATGATTTTATAATCATTTCAATTTCTTTCGATTAATTATGAACGACACTTTAATTTTTAAAAATATTTTTATATCATGGTAGATTGCTTAACTACTCCAACATTAATTTTGTTATAATTTTGATATAATTGTTGACTGACTACTGCTAAAAATATCCTGTCATGTTGACTGTTTTGTTTGTTGTTTACATTTCTGGATAGTTTATAGTTTAATCATACACAAATTCAATAAGCAGTTTACTTACATTTTTATAATATTGACGACAACAAAATATTGAAAATTTCAAACTTGAATTTATTTGATAAATGTATTTTATTTACGCTGTATCAAAATGCACGCAAAGATGTAAATCATTTCCTTACTGTATATTCATTCTTGATAGCATAATAGTAGTATTTAACTATTTGAAAATGGAAATGCCATTTATGTTAGCTTAGCTTTGTTTATTTTTGTCAGTGTTCAATGAAATACTTTATAATGTTTACTGTACCAATAAACTCAATAAACTTATATGTGTATAATGAGAGAGGTAGGTAGAAAAGTAAGTGATGGTAGTAGCATAGATGAACTCTAACATCCGGACACATAGTGTTCATCAAAATATAAACTAATTATAATATGTTACAGTTCTACAATGGTTCCAGATATTTATATTTCATTATATATTTTAAACAAAATCAGAGGACTAAAATAAAGCAATTTACATAAATCATAAGTAAATAAAATATGAAAAATAAGAGAATAAATTATTGAAAGAGGAGAAATATTCGGATTTATTAAAAACACATGAACTCCCGCAAACATGAGAATTTTAAAACGTTGTGTCCGATTCCATATACCAGTTAAAAATTTCTTTAAAAAAATTAATGTTATTTCAGTAAGTATTGCATTCTCTGTCAGTACTATACTGTGCATATATAATAACAGATTTATTGTTCAATCTATTAACAATAAAATTGATTAATAAATCAGATTGGTGATTTTTACCTTTTTTGAAAAAAGAAGAAAAAACAACAATAAAAAACAACATTAAAAAACAACAGAAGATGAGAGCGACATTGCATCACGCGGGTATATTTACTTTTTGTTCTTATAAACATGACGGTTATTGTTTAAATCATGTGTTGACTGTCTATTGACATATAATGTTACTGTTTTGTACGTCACTAACCTTAGTCAAAAGAAAAAAGAATTAATTTCCCCCATACTCTTTTTCTAGACTAATTAAGATATGTACAAACGCCATTTTTAAATCCTTTATGGTCAAATTATAATTTACAAATATTGACGCGCTTTCGCCTGTCCTATTTTAAATCCATTCTAAATGTTTATTGAATACTTAAACTGTAAACTTTATTAAAAGATATTTTATTTACTACAACAACAACAACACTTATCAGATAGGGAATATGTTAGTGTTTTATCTTGCTCATATGGCCGTAATATATATCTATATGCATTAAAAAGATATTAACTATTTTGATTTTTAAGCTTAACTTTAATTTCGCAAATTATTTAAATTCAGCATATATAAGTATGTCACTTGTTTTAAACTCATGCAAATTTAACTTTATTTTCATTTAATTTCCTATCCCGCGTCACCCACGAGATTCATTTATTTTGGATAAAAATGATCAAAAGAAAGTTTTTTTTAATTCGCTAATCAACCTTCGACCATGATAATGCATGTTATACTATTTTATATTTAAATGGATAATCTTTCATAAAATGATATTTTTTTTTGTATCGGTTTGATTTAATTTAATGACCACCAAAAAGCTGAAATCATGATGTTTTGATATTTCAGATTTCCAAATATCTTATCGCTTAAGATAGTCTGTGTGTTAAAGTAACAATTCTATATGAAGACGTTTTCGAGCGGAAGAAAGTTGTTAAGCCTGGTATCTTTTAGAGCGATATTTCTCTTTAACTGCCAGGTAAAGTTCCGATTCATGTTAATTGTCTTATCCGATACCCTTACATGTGTCGCAGAATTAAAATGATATATTATATTTATCTATATATCCGATCGCCAATATCGATTATTTAATTAGTCCAGGTATATCTAATGTATAAAATCCAAACACAATCATTAGAATATTTAGCCAAAAGTAAAAACTTATTCATACATATTTGGCTAATAATGTGCTCCTTTTGCTCAGAAACTGTATCGCCGTTTGATGAGAGTCCGTTTATTTAATTCTACAAAATCTTCTCCAAACCCTGATGATAAAGTCTTCAAATTGTCCAAGGGAATTCCAAATATGGTTATGTCTAACATATTTCCAAACATGATTTGATATACTTCACGTTTACCTAATTTCAAATATTTTACTTCATCAAGACTACCCTAACCAAATCTGCCAGCTTTATTAAATCTATATCTGTGAAAGAAACGATCAGTATTGGGTCAGCAGAGCATATTAAGATTTAAGTCGTCTTCATTTAGAGATAAAAACCCCAAAAATAAATTATTCCAGACACCTAAGTTCATTAAAAGACACGCGGGTGCTCTACTCCTTTTTGATGTAATTTGTGGCCACTTAACAGGCTACAATGAAATAAGTCACGTTATTTGATATTCTTTATAAAATTACAATCTACAAAATAATTTGATTTCTTTCCCAGAGTTTCTTAAAAGCCACATGGCGTATAATATAACCGAAAGTATCCCAGAAACGACGAGCAGTCAGATACAGTCGCCTTAACACCACTTGATGACCGGACAAATTTGATTTTTCAACAATTTTCCTGTTTGTTTCACCCTTGTGTCATAAATAAATAGAAAATTTTCGGCTTGGGTGAAAATTATGCAAAACTCGCATTTCTACATTAAGTAATTCAATTTTTCCCAATCACCGGCGCTAAGTAGACGACTCTAACATAGTTAAGCCGTACTAAAACAATTTACCTCGTCCAAATCTTATTTTCGCCGCGCTTCTGCCATAACAATACTGGTAAATCAAGTTTACTTACCGGAAGGAAACACAGCAGGCTGTGTCGGATCTCGTGGTCGTGGCATCATGCTGCAGGACGCTGATCCCATAGCCGGACCGGGTGGAAAAGACCGCACACCGTTGTACCGATACCCTTGTGCCGCCATCTGTCCGAACGGGTTCGAATCTCCATAACTGCAAGGAATATTGCAGTTCTGGAGAGCAGACTCCATCCCAGGAAGGGTACACGATGCATCGAAAGAATTATGCTGGCCCAAGTACGGGTAATCCATTTGGGAGACACTTAGTAAACAGTCACTAGAAAATGGTGCTTCGCGTTCTAACTGTTGGCAGCGACTAATTAGATTTTCCAACGACGAAAAACTCGGGTCGTCTCTGTGTGGCTGACGTCGATAACTATTGCTGTATTTAATATATGAACAATGATTTCAATACTGAGTCCTGATTACCGATGTTTGCCTTAAACTTGGTTAAAGAGAATGCCTGATCGTATCAAATGAATGGTCATAAAATTTATGAAAAAAGTGAGATATCAAGTAACTCGAGGGAATATTGCGTAGCATTTTCCATAACTTAATTATAATACATTTCTGATATTAAACGCTATAGGCTGGTTCCATTTGCTGCTTTTGGAATATTGATTATCAAAGGCTTTCTCTGTCACAGGAATGGCATTGGAGACTCATTTGAATATCATTTGCATATTTAAATGAGTCGCGCTGTAGAGGAGTCACGCTATTGGCTGAAACGAAGCGAGAGGAAGATTCCGTTTAACGTCCAGGCGCACGCAGACATAATTTCTCGACGTTTTTCCCGTTTCTTTGCTCCGGGCGGCTTGGTACTTGCAGGTAAATAATAAAGACATTTTTCTACATTTCTTTTGTTTATAACGTTTGACGATTTTATCAGATTGACAGCTGTTCATTTACTTTGAACACAGATTTAAAGAACGATAATATTGTCAGCTTTTAACACGTTTTCTCTTTTTCTAAATTGCGTCAACGCATTGCATCTAATTCGTTCATTTCTTTTTTAATTAAGAATATATATAACATAACAGGTATTGTTGAAATAATTTTAAAAGAAAAAGGGCTATCTTCAGATTTTACCGAATATGTTGTTTCGAATCAAAGAGTAAAAAAGCTTATTTTAGAATACTTCTGGACTAAATTGCGATATTTTTTTTCAGACGGAAAGATCTTTCAACACGTTTGGTGGCAGACTAGGGCACCAAGCATGTCAGTAGAAACAAGAAAACTTGCGTAAATAGTTTAGGTACCAAGCATGTTTGGATGCTTACCAGAAAGAAAACCTAGGATATCTGAACCAAAAACAAACAACAAAATATAGAGACTGATTTTTGACGGAGTACAGTTCAAACCTTCAACTTATTTTAATACGGCAGTGTTGAGTTTTGTTATCTTTAATCCTGGACATCAAAGTAAGCCGACGCATAATGTAAAGCAAAAACAAAGCGACTTATAACTAGTATTGGATGAAGAAGAGAAAACAACAAAATCTAACCAAAAAATGTGTGTTTTAATTTTTATTTTTTAATAATTTTATTCGTTTGAATTTGGACTCTATGAGGTGTTGCAATTTCTAAAGCAATTATGAAATAATATTAAAACGCTACTATACTGTTTTGTTTTTGTTTTTGTTTTTTTTACAAAGAACTGCTTCCTTACTTCCACCTGAATAAAATGTAATTTGTTTCTTTCGTACCATGTCATAAGTGCACACTATTTAGAATATTTTTCTTCGGTAAATTGCGAAAATAAAAAAATCTAAAATTAAAATTTATGAATAAAAATTAAGAAATTTATGTTATACTGGTCAAGATTTGATATATTCTTTAAGTTACGAATGGAATTTAAACTGATATATACATATGAAAATGGAGACATTTCTGTCCCGGTGATCTGGTTTTGAAAGTTATTTTGATAAAATACTGTATACTAAATTACTTAGTAACATGAATTAATAATTGTTTGTTATCAAAATTAGTTTCATGCATTGTTTTGATAAAAAATGTAATCTAGAAAATGATATTTTGATTATATTGTATTTTTCGTTGCATAGTAAGTAAAAGTTAAAAAGTTGTTCAATTAATTCATAAGAAATAAATAATATCTTCTACGTGATAAGACATTTTAAAAAAATCAAATGCTTTTTTATGTCTGATTAGTAAATATCAATTAAACCCCATTTATTTTGTACCGCTTATATTTTGTCAATTTCTATTCCGTTCTTTATATATATTCTTTAAATTGTAAACTACACTCAGATAACAACAGATTATCATGCATTATTATATTCTATATCAATTTATAAAATCTTGTACCAAACTAGGACATTTGTCGTTTATTTTTCAGTCTGAATGCTACATTTAATAATAATTATTGAATCATGTATGAGTATTCTCTATACTAACTATGAATTTCTAGGTTCCGCTGTTGAATAATGATTGCTATATAAAAACGTCGTGTTTGTATCATGTATAATAAACTGAGAGAATAAATTTTATCAAATTTTCAAACATACATTTTATACAGGGATTGACTTGTTAAATTTCACATGAAATAAGAAACGTTTTGCACTTACAGATTATTCTTGAATGGTAGTATTTTTGTATTTCTTTTACTTCGTTTCTTATTATGTTACAAATGTATCTGAAATAAAAACAAAATATAATAATAATGATGGTTTATTTCAATGTAATTAACTATGATTATATTTTTTTTACTGAAAGTAATGTAAGTATGTATTTATAACCTACATGTATATAAAGTCACGATATATTTGAATAATATTAAAAAGTTCCCATTTCGAACTTTGAAATCGGATAAGAAATATTAATAATATTATATAAAATTTCACACAGATGATGATGCGTCTGTTCACGTTTCAAAGAAGCTAACTCTTGGTTCCCTACGTATGATTTTAAAGGCTATTTTTAATGATAGTATTTAATTTAAATTTATACCCGATGCACATTCACAACTTATATTCAATTGTTTTGAAGTAATAAAGTCATTGAAACTCGTGTCGTGCATAATTAAACAGACACATTTTTTAAAGGATGAAGTCTTATTGTAAAACTTACGAATGGGGGTTTATGAATTTTGTATTAAAAAGGAAAACATACTTCAACATGGTCGTATGAAAAAAGTACATGTCATAGATTATAATTGGGCCAGGTGTTGATATTTTTAACAATATTTTTTTCCGTAAAAGTTGTTTAAACAGGCCCATTCATATTTCTCACTAAATTTGGGAGGTATATTACATGTCAAAATATGGGTATGCAGTTCTTTATTTTACCTTTTTTCGCCAAAATGTTCTATTCTACAAACCAACTCCTCCCTTTTTGGCTTTAAAGTATTTAGCATGAACTCTTTTTTCATTTATATTAGGCTATAAGATAAGTAATAATGTGATTATATAATCTAGATAACTTATTTCATTAAATAAACCCCCATTTTCTCTATGATGAAAAATGCAAATATCTCCCACTGTTTTTTTCCAATCCAAATAGCAGATACGAAACATTTCAAGTATATACTGTAATCTAACATTATACTTTTCTTGCTAATATATCACCTCTCTGTGAGTAATTGAACAAAATTGTATGTTTTTATGTGCGAAATATTCTAATTTGATCTATGCTTAGATTTTATGACATGCAATTTCACCATTTCATTTTAAAATATTCCTACCTTTCTAACATATAACTTAGTTGGAGTATATAATAGATCATTTAGAACTTTTAGTATCAAACAAATTGCAAATAAGTAACTATTTCAATTTCAGGGAATACAATAACAATACAACCTTTATTTTACTGCCTTATATTAGCTCTGCTACGCAATGTTTCATTAGACATTTTAGATCTATATTCCATCTAAATTTGTAATATTCTCAGAGTAAAGTCATTTCAAAAAGACATGAGAGAATTTGAAGCAAATTATGTGACGGTTTTCTATCGATTGAAAGTCTGTGAGCAAATTAACTGATTGCTTCTCGAAGTTGTTCTTTCTAGACAACCGTCATTTAACGCCGACAAGCGCTTTACAGAATGGCCCCTTTGTAGCCATGATTGAAAACTTGTCCCGGGTCCGCCCGATTGATAATTAATATTTGAGATTGCGCTATTATTGCTTTATTGGAGTGTGTAATATCGCTTTAACAGATTGATTCACAGAGAAAATTACCGTGCGTTCTCCAGAGGCTCGGCCGAAATCGACGCAAATCACAGATAGGCCGATACAAGGGACTGGTATGGGAGACTCGATAGGAATTGTGCACAGATGGTTAAACTAACGTTTAACGGGACTTGGGTGGAAAGCTATTGAAATTAATTAAGCTAGAAAATAGATAGCTCAGATCATATTTTGATTGCTCAGCTCACTAGATACGGTATGGAATGAAAACAAAATATGGATTCATGGTTTGAAGAATAATGAATATGGCCTTTTATTTGACGACGTTAAATGGAGTTAGTGCCCAAGAGAGGCTTGGTTTATGATAAAATATAATAGAAAATTGACGAGTTTATGTATCAATAATTGAAGTTTTCATAGCAAGAGGAGCCTTTATTGGCATTAAGTATACTTGACATCGAGAAATCCTCGGCGCAATATGGTCAAATTGTACACGGTTTCCTAGAACCACCACTTAACATTAATCTAACTTCATATCGAAATAAGTCTTTAATATTCCTTTCCATCTGATAAAATTACTTATATAGATGTAAGAGAATATTTTAATGACCATACATATATGATAACTTGTAAGAAGAACAGACAAATCGAAACAAAATACACAGCAAACAAAACCTTAAAGAACATTATTTTCTATATTTGTTTAAAATCCCCCGATACAATTCCATCGTTCCATTACTACATGATTTTCCCGGTGCTGCAACCCGGTGACAAACTAAAGTACCTTTTGCCTCACCCACTTAAGTGCGATTGTAAAACATTGTGTTTTGTGACAAGATGATGGAGTATCTCACACTATTCTCGCTAAGATGATAGAGTGGATAGCCCTGTCAACCAGTTACAAATGTTTCCCCCCTAGAGAGACACTTCACATAATCACAGTTGCTGAACTTTAATTAAAAAGGTTTTGTTTCTGTTTGGTTGTCGTTTTAATGGTGGTCAATTTTGTTTGCGTTAAATATTTCTAGGCATTTGGTTGCATTTATTTCTACTACCGTGGAAGTCTTTGGGTATAATATAATCATTTGAAATACATACAGGTCAAAATTATGTTTGAAACCGATCTTTTTAATCATTACTATATTGTTATAATAGTATAATAGTGGTACAGTGGTATATATCACAACTGCTATTATTTATGTCAATATAATTGGAAAGATTGCCCAAAAACCTCTTCTGTATATACAATGTACCTTATATGTTGTTAAAGTTATATGATATCGATTGTTATTTCTATCTCAAAAGGATAATCTTAACTCAAGACGAACTTAAATAAACAAAATATTGCTTGTCGGTGCTGACTAGCAT